GGCGCTGAGGCTGATTGACGAGCTCAAGGAAATGGCGGCGGCGGTGACTGCGGCGGCGGCGGCGGGAGGACAGGGACCGGGATACGGCAAAGACAAGGACAGACGGAGCCGGTGAGGTTGAGGGGTGAGGGGGTGAGGGTGAGAGAAGGAGGGGAGAGGGAAGGAATGGGGGAGGGAAGGAGGGGGGAAGAGGGGCTGAGGGCAAGGCTGTTTCACCGCCATCCCATCCTCATGGTCTCCGCCGCCGTTCAGGTGCCCCGCTGCTTTCCAAACAGCCGTGCGTGTCCTCAAGCATGTGTACTACCTGATATGATATGTGTGTACGACTGGTGACGAAAGATGTGTTAAGGTGGATCTCCCTCGCCGCCGGGGGTACAGCTATCCGGTGCGAAGCTGACCCCCTCCACACACCGCATACAGCCGATAGCCGGCGTGTGGCAGCCAAGGGAAGAGAACTCCGCTCCCTCCCTCACCCTCACCCCCAGGGGCCCCAGCTCGCAAACTTCCCCCCTTCCCCCCTTACCCCCTTCCCCCAGGAGCCGCAAGAGGTGCCGGGTTCCCCCCGTGCTGACCGGCGTGCCCAGGACCGGTAGCGAGTGCAGCAACCTGCCCTCGCCGGGGCCCTCACCCTTCAACCACCACAACCACCATGCCGCCGGCTCGTGCCCCTCCCTCGCCCCCGGCGATGGCCTCCTCAGTCGCGCCCAGTCGCAACAGCGGTCGAGCTATCAGAGCGTCATGAGCAGATTGCTGCTAGGGGTGGGAGGGGGAGGGGGAGGGGGAGGGGGGGGTGAGGGGCTGGGAGGGGAGTTTAGGGACAGCGGCCGCAGTCGCAGCTTCCTGAGCGGTTTGGGTTTCGGTACGGGGGGCTTTAACATATCCTCCTTGCGCCGTACACTGACGAGGCAGGGCAGTTGCGGCAGTAACGCCATCACGGCGGCAGCGGCGGCCGCAATATCCGCGGCAGCTGCGGCAGCGGGAAGGGGTGGCGGGGCGGGAGGGGGCCTGGGAGGAGGGGGGGGCAGCTTCAGCGGACCGCTACCCCGCGCCATCAATACCGGAGCTGCAACCACTCCCACTGCTACAGCTGCCGCTTTCAGAGGCCCGCAGCTGCACGTGTACGGCACTGTGTTGTCGGCCCCTGGCGCACACCTTCACGAGTGGGGCGGCAACGACCAGCACCAGCAGCGGTACCAATATCCCCACCATCAACATCAACACCAACACCAATATCAACATCTGAATCTCGGGGTTGGGTTGGGAATGGGGGTTGGCTCCCGTACGATGTCGGGTAGGAGCATGTGGCAGTACGGCACGGGGGGGGAGGAGTACGGGATTGGGTTTGGCGGAGGTGTGGGTGATGTCCGGTTGGCGCCTGACGACGTCCCTCCCCCCTCCGGGGGTGGAGACACTCTCACGGGGACGATCAGGGCCTTGGAGGACGGGGCCGCCGCTACTGCCGCTACAGCTGCTGCTGCTGCTGCGGGGGTTATCGACGGCACCAGCGGGCGCCGCCTGCACCTCCGCACCACTCTACACCGCCGCCGCGACGGCAGCGACCACCCCCAGGTGGCGGCGGCCGCGACGGCGACGTCTGACCTGGAGAGCAGAGCAAGCCACCGGTACAGCAATGGCGACGACTGTCCGGAGGCGGCTGGTGGCGGTGGCGGTGGCGGTGGCGGTGGCGGTGGCGGTGGCGGTGGCGGTGGCTAGATAGCGGTTGGACCACCGGTCTATTTCTTGGGAACCAGATCCACCCCGGGGGTGTGATGAGGGCTGCTGGGGTGACGGTGGAGGCGCTTGGTAATACGCGCGCGTGGTCAACAGCGGAGACTGTCGTACTGCGCTTCTCGGTTGGACGAGTAGGATTAGCATGCAACCGTGCGTCTGTGGGGTGGGGTGGGGTGGGGTGGGGGCGACCCAACAGCCGCCACACCTGTACAACACCATTTTACCTTACCTCTCCTCATCTGGCGCACCCCTCACACCAGGCGCGTATGTCGGCGTATGTGCATGTTTGTATAGGATGTGCATAAGATCACCGGGGGTCACGGGGCCTTATCTTTCCCCCTGCTTTGGGCGTCTTTCCGCCTAGTTGAGTACAGTTGATGGCGACACGCACCTACACACACACACACATTTATATATACGATGGAGAGCAAGAGGGAGTTAGAGAGAGAGAGGTTGCGGCTGAGGGGGCCTGAGAGGGGTTGGCTTCATCCCCGACAGACGCGGTGGATAGGCAGGTTGTGTGTGTGTGTGTGTGTGTGTGTGTGTGTGTGTGTGTGTGTGTGTGTGCGAGTATGTGTGTGTGTGCGAGTATGTGTGTGACCAGCTGGCCTATCAGCTGTTGCCGTGTCCTTCGCTTGCTTCGTTTCGGCTGGTTTGCTGACTGCATTTGGTTCCAGTGTATACGGCGAGCGTACGGCCATGTGTACTGCGCCGCTCAGTCGGATAGAAGTTATTCGGGACCCGTGTCGAATGGAGGGAGTTGAGGGTTGTGAGTTTGAAACAGGAGTGAAGCTCGGGTGATATTGAAACCTCAGGAGTTAAGCTCGGGTGATATTGAAACCTCACGCCCGATCTAGTGCAGAGGCGTGCGGAGAGGTGTGCGGAGAGGCGTGCCAGAGCGATGCGGATGTGTCCGCCGCAATGACGGCCCCCGCAGCAGTACTGCAGAGCTGGTATCTCTCCTAAACTGCTATTTCACGCACGGATGAAGACTATCGTCGCCGAAGATGCTAGAACTTGGATGCATTGCACTCATACTGTAGTGGCGGCGGGCCTAGTTGGGCGGTCAGCCAACGTCGCAGGGCCCCACTGGCAATCTGCTTGGCTGGCCGGAGGGGGGAGGGGTTGGAAGCTGGTACCCTGCACTCCCCGCGTATGGTGTATGCGTGATCGGACTTAGACGTGTCATGCTTTGCTGTTGCCCGCATTGATTGGCGACATGGCGACTGGATGGCTGCTGGCGTGTACAGCTCTCTCAGCCGTATGTATGTATTAATGTGTGGGACAGGGGGTCCTTATATGCCTTTTTCGTGGCCGCTACCCTGCGAAACCCTGCCTTCCCCGGTATTTCGGGGCACCCTCATCCAGTCACCCTAGTCAACTTCTCAGTGGATCGCTCAGGTTCCGCACCCACCACCAGCATCCAACGGAATGTGCCGGGTCGAGAGCGGCCAAACTCCATTCATGACCAGCTCGAAGGTCTACTTTTAACCACGGTCACCCCCTGGTCACGGGCCATCCACCCAATCGGACGAATTTTCGACCCTGACCGGTCTCGATCCCTTCGGGGGCATGGGTATGTGCGTTACCAGTAGCGCCTGAACTGATAACTGAGATCACTGACACTGTATGTATGTATGTATGTATGTGTGACTGGAGGGGGAATGTTGCGCGCGCTTGCATGGCGGCGGGAGACGTGTCCCAAGCGGGAAAAGCGACCCTTCGAAGCGTTTTGGACCTTGATTCTGATCTGGACTGGACTTTCGTGGCTGGTTCTCTGGTTACCGTTTCGAGTCACCTTCCGTGAACACCACCCTAGGACCCCGCGGATAGCGGTCGCATGGGGACGTGCCGCTGTGTCGCGAGAGGGGACCGAAAACCTCAAAATTGTGAAAAGAGGTCGCACCCTGAGCGGGCTTTTGAACTTCCGTACAGGCGTTGATGTATTGCAAGCAAGGGATTAGCCGCATTTCCCAAGACCTGTGCTTCACATGTGCAACATTCTTGGCCGGCATCACTATCACCATCATCGGACCCCAACTACCTGGCTTCCTAGCCGCCTGGACGATCGTGCTTTCCTTTCCGAGTTTTCCTACACCCCCACCGCCACACACGTATGTTGTCATATCCTGTAATCAAATGTCAAAAGATAGAACAACACTCCTCACTGCTCTAACTACCTAATGCGGCTGCAGTACAACCAAAGCAAGCAGAGCGGCACCAACGTGCCAACGTCAACCCGCACAATACTCCGCACCCCTCCACCTACGTGGTCGCCTTTGCTGCTGGCCTGGTCGCATCTGGCTTATCTGATAGGCTTCTCCCACACCGCGTGCTGTACTGAAGTACGACAGTACTACACAACACTCATCTTCCTCTCTCGTCGTTCTACCATCTCTACACCTGCTCCAGCAAATTCCTTTGCCGCATGCGAATATCCAGAAGACCCACCCCCAGCTACAACCGCACCATCCACCAACTGCCTGCTGCTGGTAGGGTACTCCTGCTCCTAAGGTATTCTCTCTTCCTCCCCCTCCTCCACATTACTCCCCCCCGGCAATGGGCTCAGTAAGCCGCCTACCAGCCGCTACTCGTCCTGCCCCGACGGGAGGCCTTATCGCCACCAACCAAGCACCCTCTCTCCGCCCGCCACCGCTTACAAGACCACATCCCTGCATCGCTACTCTGCTCGCTCACCTCCTGTACTGCACAACACACATACAGACACACATACACCGCTCAACCCACCAGTGCAATTCGCTCAGTCAGTTGGGGGCCTTCGTGCTCAGCGCCTTCCCGCCTCCCCTCTCCCTCCACTGCGGCCAACAGCGCATCACCACTAAGGCAGCCCCGCGTCCTCCTCCGCCTCCTGCTGCTCTTGCTGCGGGCAACCAGACAACGGCGCGCCTTGTCAGTTCCGCCTGGCGGGCGGGCAGCAGGTCGTATGGCCATGCAAGGGGAGGTAGCAGGGAGGTAAGATCATTTTAGGGGGAGGCCGCCCCCGCACCTCCCCAAATACATACGGACACAGAGGGTGGGTGGTGGCCGGGGACTCGAGCTCATTTCGCGGCACCGCCGGGGTCCCCCTCCGCACTTTACCACCCCCTCCCCCATTGATACACGCAAATCTCACGGCCCATACGCACGTTCGGCCCCTCCTCCTCCCCGCCTGCCCCCTCCCCCCTTACCTCTTACAGACCCCACGTACCACTCAACCCGCTCGGGGGGTCTCGGGGTCACAGCAGCCGCCTCTCCAGTTGGTCGAAAGCGAACTCCAGCTCCTCCTCCCCCACGTACTCGCCACGACGGTACCGCGCCACTATGCGGCGGCAGTACTCCAGGATCTGGCTGTCCTGGGCCCGCAGCCGTTCCTGGGCCTCAGCGATGGACGACTCCGCGCTGCGACGAAGACGTTCGCGAGCCTGATGATAATGGACCGGTTGGCCAGTTGGCGACATATTTGCGTGTGAGCGAGGGGGGGAGATAGCGAGTGACGAGGGGGAGAAGGACGGTTGTGAATTGGGGGGCCGGGCGAGGAGCAGGGCGGCAGTTTCATCAGGGTTGCGCAGGGGAGCTCGGGGGACTAATGAACGTTGTCAGGGTCGGGGGGAATGTGGGTTATGATGGGCCCCTCTTCCACCCGCTTCCCTCCAGCCCTCCCCTAGCTGGCCCTTTGGGCACCACAACCACGACCACAAAACCACAACAACCTGAGTTGCATTTTACATCACATGATCCTTTTCCCCCCCTTTCTCTATGGTTCCCTCTCCTCCTCTCACGCCAACTGGCACACCCACCTGCAGTATGTCCTCGGCTGCTCGACCGCTCCTGTCCTGCGCCCTCAGCCGCTCCCGGGCCGCGGCAATGGAGTCCTCCGCGCTCAGAGCGGCCAGCCGACCCATCCGCTGAGCCTCGGCCTCGGCCTGCAGAGACACCAATCAAGGGAACAAGCAAACGAACAAAGAGTTGGGGGTTGGGAGGGGTTGGGAAGACTGGGCGCTATGTGCGCCACTGCTGTATCAAATTGCCGTACCACCGTGCCACACAGGGGAAAGGACGCAAGGCCCTTCTCGCCCCAAGCAGGCTCTGAAAAGCTCACCGTCTCACCTTTTACCATTTTCCTCTCCCCACCCTCAACCCACCCCCACCCCTCAGTTAGGCTCCTTTCTCCCTTCCCGCTAACCCCCCATGCCCACGCATGCTCACCTGCCGCACTCGCTGCTGAGCCTCCGCCAAGGACCTCTCCCAGGGCATCTGGTAACCACCGTACGACAACGATGACGAGCTGTACGGAGAAGTGTAACCGCCACCGCCGCTAGGCCGACTGGCCGAGGAGGTGGTCGGCTCGTCCCCCCCGGCAGTGGCTGGGTGTCCTCCAAGCAGCCCGACCAGCTCGTTGTGCTTGTCACCAATCAGCCCCGCCAGCTTTCCTAAGCGGCGGGGGGGGGTCGGGGGAGAGGTGTAATTTGTGTGTGTGTGCATGCTCGTATGCACGTGTTAAAAAGGTGCATACTGGAAAGCCGGGGAGAGGACGAGGTAGAAGGCCAGGCGGGCAGTGCTGGGATGATGGGAAAAGGGAGATGAACATACATACACATATACTCAGGTTAGGCCCTGTCACCTTCCCCTGCCACCTCCCCCTGCCACCACCGCCTTCGGAGTGCCCCGCCATCATCGGCCACTCGGCCCCGACCCCTGATCCTCCTCCACGTACCTGCCAACGAAAAGTTAGCTTGTGCCTTGGTGTTGCTTTTATCGATGATCTCTCGCAACAAGTTCTTCTCCTGGGGGTGTGGCGTAGAGGAGTTGATAAACAGGTAGGCGAGGTATGTGGAAGAGTAGGACTACAGCAAGCAGTTCTTTGACACAGCGCAGATAAGTGACATATCGCCTTCAGTGAATCACGTCCGTCCGTATGTCAGACAATCCGGTCCGATGGCGATCAGCATCCGGATGCGATAACCCGTGAATGCATGCGAATAGCGCCGCGGAGGCCGCAGACGGAGAGCACCGCACTATGCCGACTACCCGCCGCCGCCACCACAACCACTGCGACTTGAAGTCAGACGGCATCCTGTGAACAAGCGCCTCTCGCGCCCAGGCCCGTCCCCAGCCCTACCCGGGCGCACTCACTCGCCCTACATCAGCCACCCGGTCATTCCCCCCCACCCCACCCCACCCCGGCCCCCGGCCCACCTGCAGGACCACCTTGGCCCCCGCCTCGTCACCCGCCTTGACCTTCTCCAGTGCAAGGTCCTGAAACACGAGGGGGGAGGGGGGGAAAGACGAACCCCACACGAGTGAAGCTGCTGCCAGGGCAAGAGTGTACCCGGGGAGGGGGAAAGGGGGGTGGGTGGGCCAACCCACGTCCCAAATACAGCAAAACAGTCAGCAGGATGCACATGGGGTGCACATTCCCGTGGCACAGGCGGCTGAACATCGGTGGAGCCGCCTGTATCAACCGTCGCGACTGGTAATTGCGGCGTCTCACCATCAGGACAAACCGCAATCGATCAAGGTGAAGAGTGCCGTACGGGCAGACGTCACACATACAAAGACACGGCTGCTGTGCAGGAAGAGCCTGAAAAGCCCCCCTGGAGAGGTAAGGGCCTTCCGGGGAGGTGCGGGCAGGGCAGCACTACGCAGCAAGGCAATCCGGGTACCATGTAGTCGTGAAAGGGTGGGGGGCCGCTAAGGGTCTGTTAAGGTTGCTGGTGTGTGGGGATCACGAAGTCCTTGAGGATATAGAACAGTTGTCGGCGTCCACAGCTACAAACTGCTGAAGAGTCCAAAGCAGGTGAAGTACTGAAGAGGCTTCTTCTCGTCCTCCCCCCCTTTGCATTGGGGCCCCCGCCCAAGGTCCACCATCCAGAAACGCTCATGTCGACTTGGCACTCATGGCGGCCTGCAGCCCCTTCGGAGGACAACTTTCCCTGCTACCCCTATGTCCCCCCTCACCTCACCTCCAGCAGCTTGCTCATGTCCGTGAGGCGCACACACGTCTTGGCACAGGACTCGGCTGCGGGAGGGGGGTTGGGGAGGGGGGCTAAGGGGGCCAGAGGGATGGGTGCTAAAGCCAAGCAAGCGACTGCCGGTACTTTGCAACATTAGCATCAACACTACCCGAGTGCGCGGCATTAACGCAAAACTTCCCTTAGTAACCTCGGAACCTTGGGGCCCCAAACACATTACAGACATTAGTGCTGTGAGGCGTGGAGGGAACAAGCGAGCGAGTTTTTGCGAAGCCTTGCGCCCATCTCCTTCTGCCCCCTGGCCCCAAACAGAAAGGAGAACTGCCGCAAGCGAGTTTGCTTATGAAAGGCAAGATGTAGTGCCGTCCGTCGGGAATCTCGCCTGCAACGAAATTATGAAGAGCCTGAAAACTGAAGACTAGAAGGGAGCATCGCTCCTCAGTCGTGAAGCAAGCACGTGAAGGTTTGGGCATTCCGATTGACTGACAGTTAGTGCCGTGACCATCGCATACGCCGCTGCGTGTCCTTACCAACTCGTACGGCTTCGTCACGCTCGTCTTCTAGAGCTTTCAATTCCTGGCGAAGAACATCCAGCTGAGCTTCGCGCCGCTGCGTTGTTGCACTGTAACCATAACCTTAAACAAGAGCAAGGACATCGCATAAAGTCTTCAGGACGCTGATCATCGAAAGTGCCTCTTATGAGCAACCCGCCTCGCGGCAAATGTAGGGCAGGAAAGAGTGAAACGCAAATCGGACCTTTTCAAAAATTCAACTCAGATGGGGCTTCACAACAAAACTCCTGACCTTCATAACTTGCACAAATAATCTCCTTTACGTGTGGCTTTTTAATTGGCCTGGATACAAACTGACGAAAGGTTCCTCGACTGCACGCCGGCGAATACCTTGATGCTGCTTTAGAAGTGGTGCTGCTGAAGCATAACATGACGCGTGGTTGCGTCAAAAGTGTCGTGGTAGGATGCATAGTAAAATGACTTGTACAAGCTGACAGGGTCAATCTCTGCACGATATTGCACTGAATACGTCTCGTCAAGAGCACTTTGGAGCAATGTACAGTGCACTGTTCACAGGACAACATGAAAATGCCACAGTTCAGCGTTGCCGTACGCAAATGTGGACTCGGAGCAATTAAGCTAGATCAGAAAGGACAGCGTGTCGCGTTGGTTTTCAATTCAGGTCAGGTCAGGTGCCCTATCAACAAAACCTCATCGCCCGGTTGCCGTCTCAGCAGCGACCGCACTCTGTCCATGACGCGCCGTGTTACGTTATCCTGCGATCTGAGTCCACTATCTGTGTAAGACCGAGCGGCGTGGCGTAGCAGGCGCCAATAACCAAACCGTTCCCTCCAAGAGCCACAGTTTCACCATGAAGGCGCAGCCAAACACTGTTCATGCCTCTCGGCGCGTGTCGATGTGCAGTGAGTAATGTAATGCGCGATACGCTGATGCACCCAAACACAAACACCGTTCCCGCGACCTCCCAGCAAGGTAGCAACGTGACCCTTCAGGTATCAGCCGTGATAGCCTACCCAGAAGTGACCTGTGCATTTCAGTAAGCACAACGATGTCATAACGCAATGCGGAGTGAAGCAGCTCATGCTGTTCTAGTTTCCAATCAGTCACACCACGTATGTTCCATTCAACTTTACGAAGCGGTTCATACCTCCGGTCGGTTTCCTAGGCGTCCTGGGTGGTGTGCCTTGCCGCGGTCCCGGGGAGGGAGGGGCCCCTCCTGGGGACCACCCTGCCCTCGCCACGACCACTCCACACTCGCCTGGCGCCTCTGCTCCCACCCGCTCCAGCCCCACCACCGATCATCATCATCATCATGTTGATACCTGTTGCTGCACTTACGGTGTCAGCTGGGTGCTAACACCAACAACTTCATCATCCAAGGCTCGCTGATGAGGCAGCTGAAGGCACAGTACACTCCCATGTATGTCTGGATCTGCAATATTAAGAAGCACACTGTTTGCAGGGGAAATGGTGTGGACATCTCCATGAAGACCAATGGGACCTGGCGGCCCTACACTGGACTGTGGCAGCCAAGCGACACACTGAGCGGCAACAGTGCAGCAACGGGTGCCAACATGATGATGATCGGTGGTGGGGCTGGAGCAGGTGGGAGCAGAGGTGGCAGGTGGGCATGGGGTGGGTGTGGATGAGGGCAGGGTGGTCCCCCAGGAGGACCCCCTCCCTCCATGGGGGCTGTAGCAATGGACACCACCCAGGATGCTTAGGAAACCGACTGAAGATATGAACCACTTCGTAAATTTCAATGGAATATATGTGGTGTGACTGATTGGAAACAAGAACAGCATGAGCTGCTTCACCTTGCATTGTGTTACAACATCGTTTCTGAAATGCACAGGTCACTTCTGGGTAGGCTATCATCGCTGATACCTGAAGAGTCACGTTGCTACCTTGCTGGGAGGTCGCGGGAACGGTGTTTGTGTTTGGGTGCATCAGCATATCACGCATTACATTACTCACAGACGCGCCAAGAGGCATGAACAGTGTTTGGCTGCGGCTTCATGGTAAAACTCTGGCTCTTGGAGGGAACGGTTTGGTTATTGGTGCTTGCTACACTGTGCCGCTCAGATCTCGGTGTTACACAGCTAGCGGACTCAGATTGCAGGATAGCATAACACGATGTGTCATGGACAGAGTGTGGTCGCTGGTGAGACAGTACCAGCAACCGGGCGACGAGGTTTTGTTAATAGGGGACCTGAACTCCAGGGTTGCAGAGATCTTCGAATTTCTCAGATGCTGAGGGGGGCACCAAGTTAGGCGATTAAGCTCAGGTGGAGCTGGGGCAAGCAAACCTTTTGCATGCCATTCTGCCTCACCAGTCAGAAGACAAGACTGATAATGCTTTCAGGCGGGCCTTGGTGGTCTTCTGTCGGGAAATGTTGATGGTTGTTTTGAATGGGCGTGTTCAGGGAGATTTGCAAGGGTTGTGCACTTTTTGGAGTCCAGCGGAACGGCATCAGCATGATTGACCTCTTCATAGCATCCCCCACCCTTTTCTTTAGGGTGGACCAATTACACATAATGGATAATGGATATTCCTGTCATACTTGCTGGTGAGAGAGTGGGTAGCTTCATGAGTGACCACTGCCCGGTTTCACTTGAGTTGGGGGTACTGTGAGAGGGTGTCAACCCAACTAAGAGGTGCAAATCCATGGCACATTTTGACATCCAACACAAAGGCCCGGTATGAGAGCTTGTTTGCCACCGATGATACCCTGCTGTGCAGCGCATTTCAGATGCTGTTAGCAAACTTTGGGGTGAACTTGATAGCACCATGGTTGTCGAAGTGCTCACACGAGCCTGCTTATCGGTGTTGGAGAGGGGTTTTGGCCAGCAGTGCACGGCACCCAAGCGTGTCAGGGAAGAAAATGGGTGCTCACTTACGATGCCGTGTGGCTGGGCTGGCGAGGGCTGTCTGGCCTGAAATCAGAGAGTCACCACTGTGGCAGCCCTGAGTGCCCTGTTTACCTGGTGGAGGTCATCACTACGCTAAAAAATGCTGGGCAACAATAAATCCCCGGGACTTGGGCCCATGCCAAGTGTTATAAGTATGCCACCAGGAAGGTTGAGGATAAGGAGGAGCTGGTGCTTGCACCATATCTGCTGTGTCTGTTGAAGCATATCTGGTCTACTGGGGACTACCCAAGGCAGTTTGAGGTATCTGCCTTCACACCCATCCACAAGAAGGGTGACATCATGGATCCTAGTAACTATTGGGGGCTGGCTGTTGGTGGGGCTCGTCTAAGCTTTATGTGTTCTTGCTTGATCGGAGGCTAAAGGCCTGGGAGGAATGCTGTGGTGCTCGCAGCCCTTACCAGGGTGGCTTTCGGCCTCAGCATGGCACCACTCAGAATCTGTTCTTGGTGCGACACCTCATGGACCAGTGCTGTAGGGATTTCGTCAATGCTTCGGGCCAAGCATTCTTTGTTTGCCAGATTGGTTTGAGAAAGTGTTTGACTGGGTTGACAAGGTTAACAGAGCAATAGGAGAGGCGTTCCCTTCAACCCAAGGGGTTAAGCAGGGTTCCCCAATGAGCCCCACACTCTTCGTTTTTCTGTTGAAGGTTTTGCAGACTATGTCGATGCTTTAGACATCGTGCACCCTGCTGCCATGGCGGCCCCTGACATCCTCAGTGTGGAAGGTCGTTGAGTACCCCTAGCCCTCTATTGACGACCTGAGCCTGTTGATGATGCCACTGAGACGGTTGATGAGCCTACTACAGGCACTGCACGAGTGCAGAGGCTCCTCTTGTCTCACTGTCAATGCATGAAAGTGTGAGCTGTTGTTTCGTCATCCCAATGGGCATGTTAGAGGGCACTACTGCCACCGTACGGCCGCAACCTATGAAGCCGCAATAAATGCGGCCAGCTGCTTCACCAGAAACATTCGATGTTTGCTGAGCGAGAGTTCTATCCTCGGCGCTCGGTTGCGCCCTGTTGTGCCGTGTCCTTATCCAGCATGAGAAACAGCATGCAAGTAATGTTACATGTCTTGGTAAATATCTAGTGGTATTGCACTGGATGTGATCCATTCAAGGAAATGTGCGCATAAGCTTCAAAAGTGCTATCGCATTATTAGTGCCATATTTTCGCCTACCGCCATAGCATGACAAGTCGGGTGTCGGCTTCCTCGAAGCCAGAAAAAGGGCGGGCCCCCCCTGCATCTGTACAGGCCGGTAGCTAGCGCGGCACATGTGACAATTGATGGGTAGTGTCAATGCGGTGGGAGATGTGCTTTGTTGCAGCAGTGCTGATGGTGTGAGAGCTAAGCTTGCACCGGGCTCCACGTGAATCGCATCCATCCCGGGTGCATGCCGCATGGACAGTGCGACAGACCGCAAGTCGGAATGCCCGTGCGGGCAAATGGTAACGAAAGCTGGGTGAATTTCGGTGCTGTCTGTGATGTTTATTCCCGAAGCGCCAGCGGCCTCAGCAATCTGCCCCACAGCCGCAGGCTTCATCGGGGCACAACACAAGTCTCCGGAGGCCCCGAGCATTGGCTAAAGTAAATGTACAAATGAGCAGCTTGCGTATTTCATAGAGAAATGTAAGCAAATTTGTCGGCCTGCTGGTGGCAAGTCGTACACGTGAATGCCCGTGCAGGCAAATGGTAACACAAGCTGGGTGTTCAAGTAATCATACGCTGTCATCTCGGAAATCAATGATGAGATACACGGCACCTTTTCGAGATGAAATTTAGCCCCAGAGGCGTTGATGTGACTTTGGCCTCGGTCAGTTGAGGCAGCCAAAGTTGTTTGTGCTCATACGATTTTTGTTGGCTACAGGCGCGATACCTTGCGATAGAGAATGATATATATTACCTATAACGCGTTTCAGCCAGGCGAGATATTATGTTTGGTCCGTTACACACGCACACACACACGGACATGGGCAATCCTACAGGTTGGGGGCCCCCTGAGCGCTTCGCGCTGGGGCCCTGCCCAAAAATTAACATCAACAGTTGCCGAGTCGCTGGAATGTTGCATAGATTCATGGAAACCTCCAGAATCGATAAATATATTTACGACGTTCGGGCCTAAACTGAAAGCTGCACGAGATGGCAACCTTGAGAAACCAGTTTCCAAGTTTCGTAGAATAAAGCTTGGTGCGGTATATACCGGATATTTACGTAAGCCGGAAACTAGTTTCGGCCCCTTTCGGCTAGCGCCGTACGAGGAGCCTATTCAGGGATCGGGCCGAAACTTCGTATTCGGGAACCCCTTTGCAGAAACGCTGCGGAAACTTGCGAAAAGGATAAATTGTCTATGTAAATTTGTCTTTTTTAGCTCTTTGCAGTGTTGCGATAACATCAAAAACACGCTCTTGGCAAATGCGGTTCAGCTTTGTGGGATCTAAAATTTGGCGGATTCGAATAGTGTTCGTATGTAGGGGTTCCTAAAAGGGAATTCCAGATGTGGGGGAACTTAGTGACGGACTCACGTGTGCCCCACACCCTTGCCGATGCTTACCCTGCTCCCTGCATGCATTCCTCCTCTCTTCGGCCCCCAATCCCCCAGGCCAGAGCACCCTTATCGTAGACCTCCTCCTTAGTGCTTAATGTTGACGATTTGTATTGGGACGCTCGGATCGGCTCACACCGATGTTACACCAGGTATGGACTCAAGGACCCTGACATATTTACCCTAAACTAATATCAATACTGAAGTAAATGCACGTACTTATATGGCAAACGCAGGTGTGGAATCTGTTTTTGACTTTCCGCCATATTGCAAACGCGGAAATGCGGATTCTCTTTTCTGCACTTCCGCCATTCTAGGCTCTGCTGCGGAAAGCGGGAAAAAACCTATTTCCGCAGGTTTCCGTTTCCGCACGTACTGAAGCCTGCGAAACCCTTAAGAAGAGACAAGTTCCATTCATAGTGAAGGGCCAGCGACCTTAGCTGGCCATTAGGCGAAAGGCCCCAGGACAACACTGTTTGGGCTCATACGATAAGGCCTCTTGAATCCCAGACATGGAAGGTCTTGCACAAGTACCACCGCCTCTAATCTAAGCAAGGGCGTCTCACATTGCTCAAAAGTGCGCAGGACCAGTCCCGCCGAACGTCAGGCGCGAGCTACTGTGTATGGCAGACCTTACCCCTTTGCTTGGGGCTGTTTTCAGGAGCTGAGATGCTTCATGTGAGAGAGTGATCGACCCAAGTATACCTAGCCCCACCACATAGTCCAATCAGCTAACCATCTGGTTGTTACGTTTCCCCTTAGCTTCTTATCAGTACTAACGGCGCAACTTGCGCAAGAAGAACACCTAAGTTCGCAGCTCTACACCCTAGGCGGGTAGCAATCAAGTGATCAGGGTGTCTGAGAGCGATCTGAGGACGTCCATGCATATGCGTCCGCGCGTAGGGCATATGCAAAACGTTTGAAACGCATCGATATCATAAATTGCAGCGTTTGAGGCTTCCGACCGTTTCGCAAAAGGCGGCAAAAGCCGTAAAGTGTTTTGCAGCCACTAGTACAGTTTCGGCCTGTACCATGTATATATATCCACATGCCGTATGTATCTGTAAAAACCTGCTAGCTGTGCCAACCGTTGCCGAAAGAAGCCATAACGGCCACAACCGAGCATCAGGTTAATAATGCACACAACACCGATATGGTTTAAGAAAATAATCATGCACGCATACTGCGAAGAGCATGTCATGCTTCTGTGAGTAGAGGAAGTGTAAGCTTTACCCCCAGCTTAACTGCCCTTTCACACAGTTCAATTATCAAGCAAGCGCTTTCTGGCCTTGCCTAACGACCCAAAGATTGCGGCATGCCAAACATTGCCTTAGATGGAAACCGAGTACGGCACGCCGCGCATCGTAACGCCCGCCTGCGAGCCCGGCACAAGTAGCGTGTACGGCAGCGGGCCGGCTGTGTCATCTGTCGCCAGGCCAAATCGGGCCCAGTTAGCCACGTCCGCATTCCTCATTTCAATGGTTTCCTCCAGGCGCTTCATGGCGCCGATGAAAGCCCGGTTTGCCTCGCGGGCAGCGGGATCCTGCAGGGATGGAGCGAGAGTTTTGGGTTTTAGAGCTGCTGTCACGGTTTTAGCAACAATGCATGTTGGGGGGCGCGGTGGCTTGGCCTATCAGAAGGCGATAACATGCAGCAAGTACATTCTGCAAGCCACCTCCCATGCATGTGGCTCTTCTATCTTCCACATCTGTTTCCCTAAACCTCTTCCTTCGAACCTCCCCCAGCCCCATATTGCGGCTAGGTGGTATACAGCCTTCCAGACATTATTCATAACCACCACCCCAGGGCCCCGAAGCCTCCCCCAACCACCCTCACCACAAGCTGTTCGTTGACCTCATCCAGAGTGTGCTCATCCCTGGCGTGACTTGACAACAACTTGACAGTGGCGGCGACCTGTATACGGGGTTGAAGGGGGGAGAAGGAACGGGGTAAAGGCACAATGTCTAGCGATATGCGCAGTTCGAAATGGGAAGGTGGAAATGACACAAAAGCGACTTGAGGTCCTGTGGGATTGTGTGGATGCTGCAAGCGTAGCAGGCCGTCAGTGAGCAAATCGCCCCAAGGAGTCCAAACCCAACACTGCGACTCCAAACTGGGGAAATATAATGAAGCTCCTGAACATACATTCCCACGCACACACAAGCAAGAAAACTAATCAGCACAATCACCGCGGTTTTGGCATACATCACCCGTTGCCGTACAGTGCACCATCCCATTGCCGTACCGTGATGGCGGTGAGCGGGTCAGCGAGGTACATCATAAGAATACCCTCCTGGGTGGGACCGACGCGGGCGCGTGTCAGCTCCTGGGGCGGAGGAAAAGGGGGAGAGCTCGTTGGATGGGGTGCTGAGGGTTGAGAGCTCGTTGGAAGGGGGGTATAATGCTGCAGGTGAATAGCTTTCATTAATTTAAGAACCCTCCTCCCCAGCCCTGGTCACCGTAGTTTCATAATGGTCATGCTCGCAGCTCAACGAGCCCCCAATGCCAAACGTCCTCTGACACCCAATTCCACTCACTCACTCCCCCTTACCTCCCAGCCCTCATCCCCCGGCGCCGGCATGGGCCGCCGTACCAACGAAGAAGCGTTGAGGACGAAGCTCGTGTAGTCGTACTGCCCAAAGTTGACCGCAGCGTGATGGCCTGACGCCAGCCAGGCAATGGTGACGAGCACCCGTACAAGCTGCTGTACGGAAGGGATAGGACCCTCAAAACCCCAGAGCTGGGTTTCGGCCCCGGGGCGGAGTCCAAAGCGGATGAGATCGGGGTGGCCTTCGGTCTGGCATGTGGGTGTGAAGGAATGGGAGGGCGAGTTGCGTTACAAGAGCAGTCGGGAAGGTAATCTGTCAAAATTTGCGCACGTTAGTCACCGACCCAAATGGGGATAGAGACTACTCCAGTCGCGTGAAGGGTAAATGGCAGTAACACGCTCGGAGATGAAGTGAGTTTCGTGAATTCCGGGTGCATGCCAGTACGGCGGCAGATTTGGACATCACCTCCGAGAGGCTGAGAGAAGGCACCAAAACTATCAGCTTACTGAAGGCATTTCGGAGCCGTGGACACATTCGATCACCAAAGTGCCGGCTAGTGAAGATGAAGAGTAAACCGATAGAGTAAACATCGCCATGATTCTTTGGTGCTACCACTCAAAGTTCCTAAACTTTGCGTAGTTTTGCTCATAAACGCTTATCTCATCCCATTGGGGTAGCGCAAATCAAATTGTGAAGCGCGAGGCCTTCGGCACGGCAAGCCGGTGCAATGGTCATGGAGAGCTGGTCGCGATGCATGTTCTATTCGCATGACGCCGTCGAATGCATGCTCCTTTGACAAGAAACACGGCATCGTATGGATCGAAATATGGCGCGAGAAACGTTGACGTGACCTTGACGTTGGTCCATGGAAACAGGCAAACTTGTTTGCCGTCATACAAATTTTGTCAGCTACAAGGAAACTGCCTTGAATTATGGAAGATTAACGGCTTTAAATATTGCGCTTTAGTGCGGCGAGATATTATGTTTGGTCGTTAAACACGGACACATATGTATGCACATGCATGCACAGCGGGGTGCAATCTACAGGGCGGGGTCCCCCGACGCGCTACGCGCTGGGGCCTCGCCAAAAAATGGTTTGGAGGGAAAAATATGTTCGGAAGCATGGAAGGGTTGGATCATGGAAAGGGGGAAAGGTGAAGGGGGAAAGCCAGACGGAAGGCGAATTCAAGCCATGGCGGGGAGCGCGTACTGCCCCCTCATTCACACCCTCTATAACCCACCTTGACCTCATGCCACCAAGCCTGCAGTTCCGTATCCCCCTTCACATCCTCATCACTCTTGTAGTACAGCTTCAGGTACGTGTCGAAGTACGACGTCAGTGCGTTCCACAGATCCAAGCCGTCAGTGGCGTACGGATAATCGAGCCAGGGCTTGCCAGTGGGATCCACCATACCCCTGTGCGGGACAGCGTGAGGGGGGCTAGTGTGGGATGGGGCCCGTGGAAAGATATACTCTGGTATATTGGAGGATATCTACTTACCCACCTTCCATCATGGTCCTTATCCCTCTTCCATGGGGTGGCTCTTGAAAGCTGATTACCTCAACCGTGGTCGCGTCCTGTGCATTACCCGATGCTCCCTCTGAACCCCTAATCCTAATCCCTGATCCCCCCCACCAACTACACACCGGGTCTTGAGGTCCTCCGGAAGAGCCTCCGTGGCGAAGTTCCAGTACTTGCCGTACACAACGGATGCTAGGCGCATGGCATAAGGCCCCGCAGAAAAGGACTTCTCTATGATTCCGCCCGCGTTGATTAGGCCCGAGCGAGCGTTACGATTGATGTTCAAGGTGTAGCGGAAGTGCGGCAGCATCAGCTTGTATACCTGGTTTTACGATTTGGGCGGGCATAACCAAGGGGAGGAGCTTGCAATAGGTTTACCGCTGTTGAATTGTAGCTTAGATGTGGCAGGATCGAAGCGAGTATAGCCTCTAAGGTGTGTACGGCAGCCATATGGCTTGCCAAATTTCAAATTTGTTACTTCAGCTGACAGCTCCATAGTTCCGGCATTATGCCTACACTATTGGAGCTTATTGTTGCTCGCACTATTCTGCAGTAGTGTGAGGCCCTTGGCAGCCCCTGTTCCACCTCGCCCTGTCCTATCCGGCATATAGGAAGATAAATGTGCCCCCTGTTGATGGACGGTGGTGACCTGAGATTAAGTTGACTCGCGAGACGACCAGGATTGGAGTTGTGCCACCGTCGATCCGGCAGATTCCGTTGGATGCTGGCGGTGGGTGCGGAACCTAAGCGATCCACTGAGAAGTTGACTAGGGTGACTGGATGAGGGTGCCCCGAAATACCGGGGAAAGCAGGGTTTCGCAGGGTAGCTGCCACGGGTGAAGATATGCCCCCCTGTTCCACACATCATTTACTTCGTAGGGAGCAGGTTTTAAAGGTACATTTGAAAAGATCAATAAGCAGACAATCATTGCTCTTGGAACGTAAAATGACGGTGCAAGGATTATGAAGGTAATAGCCGTTGTAATAGTAGAAGTTTTGTGTGCATTCCTCTCTTGCTCGCAACAATAATTTGCTTCCGTACCGGATGCATGACGCTAACATGTCGCCGAAGGGCGATGAAGAACGGCTCCAGCACGCAGTGGGTGCGATTCCAGTGGCTGATCAGCTGCAGGGAAGGGAGAAGACAATATTGTTTTATGGGCATGCTACGTTAAAACTTGCAGAAGGGCGTTTGCACGACAGCCTGCTCCCAATCCTTAACAAAAACCACCAACGCACATCTACACGCAGAAACGCGAAACACACCACATGCAAACCCACTTGGTGGAACGACGAGTCCAGCGACTTGAAGATCATCTTAGCGAGTCGCCACACAGCTAGAGTGGCGGTGTCAGCGGAGAGCTGGGAGCGAGAGTAAACCTGGCCGGCAGTGCGGGCCAGACCAGGGTTCTTCGCGTGGGTCTTGGAATGGGCTAGCTCGATGGCCACGGGGATAAGGCCCGCATCATTGCCCTGCTCATCCCTGCAGGATCGGGGAGGGGAGAAACGATATTAGGGGAGAGGAAGATTGCTTGGGGCGGGCAGGTGGGTGGGGAGGCGGATTGGAGGTGTTGGTTTTATAAGGGTAGGACAGTAATTAGGTGATTTTGTTGGTTCGCTGAATGCTGAAGACTGCCGGATGCCATAGTTTGTTGTCCTTTCCTACTAGTAAAAAGCATACAACAGCATTACACTTACTCCCCACTTACTTCCGCAGGTAGAGGATGGCACGGCCCGCGTGCTGGACCACATCCTTGATTTGCTCGTTGGCCGCTGCCTCCCAGAAAGCCGACAGATCCCAATAGTCAATTGAGTACAACCGGGGCTTGCCGCCCGCCGCCGCCTCCGAAACCAACTGCTCCAGGGTGGCCCCCTGCAGGTCAGCTGGGTACAGTATACATGTGCGTGTTCATTACTTAGGAAGGAAGGGTGAAAGACGGGGACAAGTAGAGGAGGGAAGGAAAAAGTGGGGGCAGGAAGAAAGGGGGGAAAAGAAAAGGGTAAAGGCAGAAGCCAACAGACAATTTTTCCCGCCCTCCATCCTCCCCACCCACTCATACCATTGATGTGCTCCCCCCGAATTGCGCTTCCAAAGCTCTCTGGCAGTTTTGTGAGGGCGGTGATGACACACGGGTTGTAACCTGCCACGGCCTGGCGACCAAACTCCAGGTCGCAGTGCCAGGCGTCCGGGCGACCATCCAGCACGCGGGGAGGCTGTGTGTCGAAGGAAGGGGGACAGGGGCCCGAGTAAGCGAGTGAGTGCGTGCTGAGATAGAGGCATTGCCTGGGGCGCAAAACCAGAGAATGTAAACGGACAAAGCGGTGTACATAATTGTACGTCACGGGCACAGTACGGGTGGGTTATGTTTACAGGTTATAAGGCTCGGGGTGTCCGTCAATGCCCTTAGACGTGTGGTGTTGTTGGAAACGACACAACAGAGCATGCAACACTAAATGCTTTAGGGATACAACGCAAATACATACGTAAGAGCCCTATACTTGTGTAGGAAAACCGTGGATGGTTAACTGCGCCTTGTGCTGTGCCTTACGTTAAAATACAGGAGGTTGTTGATGGTGGGTGTATTGCCAGTCACCAAGTTCCATAGCTTTGATCCGAGCCGCTCGTCCGTCTTGCTCGCTCCGGGCTTGGAATCCTTTGCGAAGAAGCTGCGAGCAGCTGGGGTGCCGGTAGCAGATCCGTACACAGGGCCCACCTGGCCGTGCAACAACGGGAGGCGAGGGGGAGGGGGAGGGGGCCGAACACAAGGCCCAGCGGAGAGGAGACCTGTTAACCCCGGGACGCAATTCATATGTACACATTAGGCAGCTTCGGCAGCCCAGTCTCCACACCATCCCACCTTCCCCCCTCACTTCTCACCCTCATCTCGGCCGTGTAGCTGTCCACCTTGGCCGCCGCCTCCTTGTTCAGCTGGAATTCCCAACCGCCTGTGACATTGCGGTGTGTGTGTGTGTGTCTATGTCTAAGTTCAAGAGGGGGATGCTAAAGTGGGAATGGGGATGCAGCAGGTTTGGGCCGCATTCGAAGGGAAGTTACGGCAACGCCGTCGAGACCCTGTGGCGAGCTTGTGATGTGACGCCGATTTAATGAACGCCCCTAACCACCAACCATCGAAAGGGTCTGAAAACGGATTCGATAGGACCCTGAGACCGTGTTACCGATCCACTGGGTACATCATGACTCGGCCACGGACGGATTGGGTAAAATATCCTCATCGAGTGGAGGGTTGGCTTTTTAGTCACTGTTGCTTTAGTTTGCTCGTCCATGAAGATAGACACTTTCCTTGCAGATAGGGATTCCACAACGGCAACGTGCTCGGCAGGCTGTACGACATGTGGCTCACCGTCAGCTGACTTGAACGGTGACACCTTTGATGGCTTCCCGTCCATGTCAGCAGCAGCACCGCCGTTTGCGCCCTGGGGATAGAGGTCCGTGGGGAGGAGGCTCTTGAAGGAGCCGCTAGACTGCAGGGAAAGGGGACGGTACAGAGGAAAAACAGGAAGGTTTGGGCGGGTTCGGGGTTGCGTGGAGTAGGTGGCAGTGTGGAGGTAAGGGCAAGGGAAAAAGGTGTGTGTAGGGACACGAGCTGCCTGCCGTGCCCACGTGTATAATCAAATGAATACGGTGCCGTGCGCATGCATAAGCTCCTGTACGACATCGCCCATGTGCATCACGAGTACGATGCCGTAAACATTTATGACACCTCGACAATGCCATACCTTTTTGTACATCGCAATGACATCCTTGAAGTCCTCGAAGTTGTCCAGGGGGCTCTCCACTCCGGGCAGTATCTTGCCCAGGACCTGCCTGGCGGCTCCGATGACCAGCGTGGGCAGTAGGGTGACGGGGGAGCGACTGCTTGCGTTGGCAGCCTCCTGCGAGTGCGTGTGCATGGGGAAGGGTGTGGTGTGGGCATGGCGGGAAACCGACTTGCTTGGCGCATTTGCGTGCGGTATGATATGATGCGTGCCTTCATGTAAGTGTGTTATATGCTTACATGTGTACGGTCGCCTGAGAAAGGGCATTACCCGAGACTAAAACTGAAGGCCCGGCAGCAGGGCGATAAGGCCAGCGCCAGATTCCACCCGGGTGCAAACGAAGGTAGCAGAAGAGCAGCGTCAGTAAAAATTTCGATTAGGTGACGTTCTCGTATAGCTACCGTCCCTATAGGTGGTCGAATATTTTACTGACAAAGGGAGAAGGTCGGCCGGCCCAGCCGATGTGGGATGCCGATATCTTAAAATCAGTACCAATGCACATCCATGCATAGATGCATGTACACATGTAATAACAAACGCGTCAACTTCAATTGCTGTCAACTCACTGCAATTGTTGCAATAGCGGCTGCCAGGGACCCCTGGAGGGCTGCTCCATTGAAGTCAGAGGACTTGTCAAAACTGAACTGATCATCTGCGTGCGGGTGGGAGGGGAGGGGAAGATAAACATATTTTAATGCATGAACACAAAAATGAACTTCTCACAGCAGGCCTTCTACGGACAGGGGACCTTCATAAAACCCTGTAACGTCCCCGGCAGGAGGTACCCTTTGGGCTCCCATTTATTCCCTCTGGATCCGGTGGATTCCGTTGGATGCCGGAATCCGCCGGATCAACGGCGGCCCAACACCATCCCTGGTCATCTCACAAGTTAACTTAATTAGCTCACCACCGTCCATCGACTTGGGGCACTATCCCTACCACCATCGTAAGGATTTTCGACCATGGGGCAATTGTGCGTGCTCTAGCAGTAATGCCTGACCTGTGGATTTCTACTCAAATATATCCAGCTATAAGCCGGAGCTGAGCTTGTAACTTTCTAGCCGGGCCCTATCATGCTTGCTGTGTCTGAAGCCAAATATACAAATATAGTACATACCATAGCCAACCTACGGGACGACCATTTGTGTTCATGGACGCACATACAAACAAACCCCACATACAGACGGACATTCCTCCACAAGATCGCGTACCCAGCGGCAGCCACAGGTCTTTGCCTTGCTGGGGTGCCTTCTCCCTTCCATCCCGCTCATCACCGCGGTTGGTGGCGAGACGGCGAGGGTATGGCAGGGCCTTGGAATCTCCCAGGTTGGGACGAACAAGGGCGCCAGTCTTGCCGGAGCTGAGATCGCTGTACACCTGCATATATATGTTGCAGTGTGTGAAGTAGTCTTGTTAGCTTTATCCGTGGCTACTATCCAGCCAACCAACCTGGTACCAGTAAATTCGGTCCGTGTCCTTCCGTTTCTCCAGACGAGTCTCAGGGGTACCCTGAGCCGCGGGAATGGACAAGAGCATGGGGGCAGGAGGCGGTGATCAGCGGCCGAGCAGCCAGAAGGGGTCAAGATAGGCAGGGTACTGTCGACACAGGATGTTGGGACAGCCTGGTATAGGACAGAATAAGCTCAATCCATCTCTCAACCCTTTCTGTGCACTGTCCTAAGCTTTTGAGGAAGAGGCACCCAGTTTTAAACTCGCTGACTGACACGACCCCCTCCCGTACACCTCCCCTCACCCACCTGCAGAGCCCGCAGCTCGTCCCGGCGCTCATCTGCCAGGGTCGGGGGCGTGTCCTTGGGCAGGTAGGCAACTCCCGAGAAAAACACACGCCAACCGTGATCTGAGGAAACCCAGCTGTTGGCGGTGATGGTATGGACGGAGGTGGCGCTGGGGCAGAGGGTGGAATAACGGCAGGGGGTTGAAGAATGGCAGGTAGTGAAGAGGGTCGGGAAAGGGAGGAAAGAAGGGGACAGGTCAGGGAGGGCTGTGTATTCGTGCAATTGTGTCTGCTTTTGCTTGGAGAAGGCATTTTTCCTTACGTTATTTGCAGCCCTTGGCTTCTTCCGTGTTCTGTTCCTGTACACACGCACCATTTCTAGTCTGCCATGCAATCATTCCGCGAAGACATCCAATTATAATGTATGCAGGCGCACAGGCCTTGTTCAGATATTATTCGCTGGTGGTAATGGTGGGATGGAGGCATGTATGTATGTAAGTATGTATGATGTGTGAAACAGGGGGGTATATCTTCACCCGTGGCAGCTAGCCCGCGAAACCTGCCTTCCCCGGTATTTCGGGGCACCCTCATCCTGTCACCCTAGTCAACTTCTCAGTAGTTCGGTAAGGTTCCGCACCCACCACCAGCATCCAACGGTATCTGCCGGGTCGACAATGGCCTATCTCCATTCGTGGTCGTCTCGCGAGGTAACTTTATCCCAGGTCACCATCGTCCATTATATAGAGGCGCAATGCCTTCCACAATTGGAAGAATTTTTGGTCTTGACAGGTATCGATCTCGGAATCTCTCGGGGGCAATGGTTACATGTACGATTGTATGTATGTTTCTGCTAGCTCAGACCATTTAACCCGCATACGCTCTTGTTGTGGGAGTCTTAGGAGAGCGCAGGTTTATTAATATGTTGCCTAATGGGGCTCCTAATGGTGTAGATAAATACAGTGTGCGCATACCCGCATGGAGATGGGTAAAAGTGAAAATGGTAATACTCCTAGCAGCAGATGGATTCTGCTCCTACCAGGTGAGGTCTATGGAGGCAATGTAATCCTGCGAAAGCTCGCCGTGTTGGTTATCCTGCTTGCGAACCAGCACTGCTCCTGGGGACTTAATTTCGGCTGGCAGGAAAATCGCGCCCTCGCGTTCCCAGCCGATGGTGCCATCGCTGCGGGTGATCTCCTTCGGTGGGCGCCACGAGTCGACCTCAAAGATAGTACTCCTTAGCTCGCTATGAGTGTCAATAACGACAATGCTTAGTCGTGCGCCGGAGTCCCTGCGTATCGCGAAGGCGAAAAGATTTTTCACAAAAGTAATAAATCGCCGACCTACCTAGCCAGCTAGCTATAGGCCAGAACAGTGGCTTAAGGAATCAAAATCGGGATGCCGACACCCAAAAACTACGTAACTTTAAGACTTCAACTGCAAATTATTTCAGGAATGCACCAAGTAACTTAACAACGTACCCGAGGAGTGGTGCTGTTGAGTGAATGCAGCACTTCCATGCCACAGCAGCAGCGGAGGATAGCGGCGTAAGATCACTATCGCCCTTGGTGTCGACAACAGGCATTTTGTTTGTGCTTCCGTCCATCGGTTTGGAAGCTGAACAACCCTTAAAGATGGAAGTCTGCAAACTCCATTGATGCGGAAAGAAAGGAAAGTCGGTTGGGACGTGGTTCGGTTCCGTTTCCGGAGTTCAGCCCCAGAAAGCATCCAAACGCGCAACGCCAGACACATGCATCAACAGCCATGTTGAGAAAAATAACATACCAACATGCCTGGGCGATATTGGTCAAATGCCTACAGGCTCCGCTGGCTGCTGGTAGCAGATGTATCAAGATGCACGTGACGCGCATACTCCCAGCTTAGAAGCATCCTACATGTTCTATGATATCAGTGCAAAGTTGCCGCAGTGTGGGCATTGCTGGAATGATAACAACCCTGCTGTAACCATGCAATTGTGTTTGCCGCAGTGTTCTGTGGGCCAGACTTCCCATCCATGGGTTGCGATTGAGAATCTCTGCATGCAACCGTTTGAAAGCAACGCTCACCTTGTTGACCGTTTGGTTTATCCTTCTAGTTTCAACCTACGACATTACACGCAGAAGGTAAGGATCCAAGGGACAACAGCCGTCATAAAACTAAGCTGGAGAGATACTTCTTTCAGTTATCTTGTATCGGCTTCCTGTGCACTGGTAATGGAGACCCATCGGAAAGCATGATGCCGCGACCTTTTCTATAGTGATTACCTTCAATAATATTATTTCCCAGGAGAAACGCGCTAAAACGTTTTCTTCGAATGGAAAAACTCAGAGTGGGTAGAGAAATCTATGAAGCCATAATCGTATGGCATTAGCAGTAAGTCGCCCGCCTCTCGTGCAAGCAAATATAAATTAGAAATAAGATAAGCATATCAATATTGAAGTGAGAGGGATGAATGGAAAAGGTCTCTGAATTATTTATGGAGTTTCAAGCTTCGCTCGTCCCGTCGGCTACTCGTCCAAAGCCGATCAGGCATGTTCAAGGGCAGCCAAATATCCTAAGCTGCATATATAATTTCAAGAAAAGCTGCTTTATTTTCTTAGGGTTGCATCTGGCCCAAACTGAAGAGAGGTCACGACAGTTGCTGGCTCGCAGGTGCAGAGTCCAACTCCCATGGCCTTTCGAGAGGGTACGAGCCCTACACCTCCTCAAGTCATATAACTACCAAATAAGATCTGTTGATTTAAGCAATTTTACGCACTTTAAGTTATGCGCTTTGTGTTTAGACCTGAAGGTACTGGTCTACCATCATCGACATGGCACAATCGCGTGGGCTTAGTGAATCAACGAATGTAATAAAGGTCTTAGAAAGCTTATATTTCTTCCGAGATAATAGGCCATCCTTAACGCATTACGGTACTGGTTTTTGCTCGTCATTTGATCCTGCACATTAACAGGGTGTTTCCACTTGGCCGAACACTAACACTAAGTTTGAATGTTCTTCGTCCTGGACTCGTCTCTCACCGTTCTAAATGCATATATTGATACTACTAATGATAGTAGAAAATATTCATCAAACAAATTGGAGGTTGGGGCACTCCTGGCGGAGAACCGTAAGGCCTAGTGGAAACACCCCGTACACTAAGTCCACACTAGCGCACACTAAAGTTAATTGGACCTCAGACCTGCCATTAACTGGGTGTTTCCACTGAAAAGTTTGTTAGCGACGTTTTTGAAAATTCTCACCCGGCACCTCGCCTTTGCTCACTTTCTTTTGCAGTATCGCTTATTCTATATAAATGTATGATAGAAATGAAAAGGGAATGTTGGGAGGCGAAGGAACGGCGAAGAACGTAGGGCCCATGTGGAAACAGGGGCCTTGTTAGCGGTCCAATAAGTCCATAAAAGTTATAGGACCCCCGGACCAGCCAATAAGGTCCGATAACTTTGAGCGCGAAAATTTTGTGAGCTCCTTTTTGAAATCTAATTGCACCCGGTCTTCTGTACACTTTCAGTCTACAACCCTGACTGCTTGCCGGCCTGCGTCGTTGACCGAACCGAAAATGTCGCAGAACCAGTCGCCCTCGCCGATTCCTTCTGGCAATATGCCCTCTGCTATCCATAACGCCTTTATGGCAACGATGCAGCAGCCCCTGCAGGGCGCGCCGTCTCTTCGCTTCGACGCCGATGTCCATGCTGCCGCCCAGGCCGCTTCGCAGAGCATCACCTCCGAGCTGCAGCGCTACAATGTACTATACTGACTACAATATTGTCCTCGAATTAGGGTGTTTTGGCGCTAAATGACGTGCAAAAAGATGGTTTCGGGGCTACTAGTGGAAACACCATTTTGTTAGGGTTTGTTAGCGCGCCAATAACTTTTTCGCGGCTAACAAACAGACTCGACAGTGGAAACAGGCCCTAACTTTAGTACCTAGCACTAACTATTTGGCGGGCAACTTTTATGAGCTGGATTGTCCCTTCTGACCATAGACTTTAGACGTAAGCAGCTATCTTTTTTCCTTCCTGCAAACGCCGCGTTGACTTGCGCACGCCCAACACCGACAGCCTCAGAACACCGCCATTTTGCAATGGAGCCCTCCTTCAATAACGTCCAGCAAACATATACCGCTAGTTTGCCTTCCTTCGCTGGCCGGACGTTGCCAATGCACCATGCGGACTTCATGGCGGACATCATGACGCAGTCTGCGCCGCAGCGGATCTTAAATACGCGAATTCTTACAGACCTTGAGAATTAACAGCAATTAATCCCTGGCGCTAAAACGTTCAAAATACGAAAACTATTTTGGTTTCGGCGCTCCTTAGTGCCGGTAGTGGAAACACCGTCACACTAAGTCCACACTAGCACATAGTGTACCGAAGATAGTGTTCGGACAAGTGGAAACACCCTGTAAGCCTCAACTCCATCAGCCTCCACTGCTATAGGTGGTTTCAACAGCTAATCATTGGCGGAATGATTTTTAGCCTGCTGGCCTGCCTGTTGGCTAAGCTGGAAGTTCGGTTAAATTAACCGTCATTAAATGACGGGCCAGCACCCCTGCTGGCAGCAAGTACGAAAGCGCTGCGCATTTAAATGAACAAATATTACCATCCCTTTTTTTGACGAAAAAGCAGGTGCTCCGAACGGCGATGTACCAAGACTCAATGACCCTTTTTTCGAGTTCGGAAATTTGGAGTCGCATTTGGTATTGCTCGGCAAATGCGTAACGAAACATGCGCTACGCAGCAGAACTAGCACCCCGTTTTAGAGAATGACTTCAGGAAGACTGCGGTCGACAGTCGCAAAGCTAAGCGGTAAATGCACAGGAAACGAAAGTGCTTTCCCCAATGCAAACGTAGCTCAGCAGCAAACCACCCGATTCCCGATTCCCACACCTGACGACAACGTAACGCGTCAACAGGTCAACTGGTCAACAGGTCAACTGGTCAGACGGCGAAATTTTCATTTAAAAATGACGGTTCGCACTAGAAAAACTAAACACCATCACGCATTGACTGCATGTGATTACACTGCGCGGTGGTCTACTCATGTACGTTTGCTGCCTGAGGACGTTGCCAAACCAAGTGTAGGCGGTGTCTGTCAAGGATTGTCCTGAAGGCAGTGATGACAGTGATGGAAATCCGCCGGGGCAATGTACCGCGTGACCGCCCTTCCATGTGTTGCATGCAGATGCCCCGTAGTCGACTGAATTTGAACCGATTGACGACTTGGGTGGGCCACTGGTCATGTAGCCCGGCGGTGCTGGCGTGGCTGTGATCTTGAGTGCTCGCGTGCTTTATGTTTAGCGCACTTGTGGACGAGCGGAGGAGGTCGAGGGGAATGTTAGAATAGCGGGTGAAATCGGGGCCATCGGTGGCGATTTGGCTGGTGCTGTGTGTATGGACGGTGGAATGCTGCTGACGGCTTTGGAGGTAAGGGAGCACCGCGCCGGAAGTCGGGGATCGGTTTCCTAGACTGTTTGGCCAGGTGACGGCAGGCATAGCGTGACGGCCAGATCTAGATGACAGCGGGGCATATGCTAGAGAGCAGCTGAGGAAGCGCATCGCTGGCAGAGTGTTGTGCATCTTGACGCTTTTGTTGTAGCAAGCGCCTTTTGTGATAGCTAGATTGCAGCTGCTGAGCCCTGGGCCCGTGATACGGTGTCGCTAGGTTTATAGTACCGGGGTTTGGATAACGAGGTTAGCCATGATGGTAGTTGCATAGATTTCGGGGCAGAGGGTGTGACAGACGAGGAGCTTGTATAATGCCGACCTTGTTTCGGACAGTGTTGGAACAGTTTGGCCATGTCAAATCATTACATAGTGAACCCTGCCTTCTCTCGAAGGTTCTCTCTCACATGTTATGATAATGTGCGGTGCAAGCGGTCTATCCTCGGCGTTTGTTTTTTCAGACATTGGTCCTGCTTGTGTGCTGTTTCAGAATGCAAAACAGAGTGCAAAACAATATGCAAGTAACTGTACATGCCTTGGTAAATATCTGGAGGACAATATAATCCATTTAAAGAAACGTGCACACAACACATCAGCTTTAAGACTCCTATCGCATAAATAGGAGGGTGCCATATCTTCGTCCAACTCCATAGCAAGATCTAATTCCACCAACACAAGCGGAATTAAACATCTTAAACTCTCGCTGTAAGGTTGGAATAACGGATATACTCAAATGCGTGACATATTTTCAGGTGCTTGCATACATACGTTCACGAAAACCTCTACGCCGATATCTCTCATGTCCCCAATCTGCCGTACGTACATGTGGAAAAATCTGCTAGCTGTGCCAACCGTCAACGTTGCCGAAAGAAGCCATAACGGCCACAACCGAGTATCAGGTTAATAATGCGCACAACACCGATATGGTTTAAGAAAATAATCTTGCACGCATACTTCAAGAGCATGTCATGCTTCTGTGAGTAGAGGAAGTGTAAGCTTTACCCCCAGCTTAACTGCCCTTTCACACAGTTCAATTATCAAGCAAGCGCTTTCTGGCCTTGCCTAGCTTTACGACGAACCAAAGATTGCGGCATACCAAACATCGCCTTAGATGGAAACCGAGTACGGCACGCCGCGCATCGTAACACCCGCCTGCGAACCCGGCACAAGTAGCGTGTACGGCAGCGGGCCGGCTGTGTCATCTGTCGCCAGGCCGAATCGGGCCCAGTTAGCCACGTCCGCATTCCTCATTTCAATGGTTTCCTCCAGGCGCTTCATGGCGCCGATGAAAGCCCGGTTCGCCTCGCGGGCGGCGGGATCCTGCAGGGATGGAGCGAGAGTTTTGGGTTTTAGAGCTGCTGTCACGGTTGGTTTTAGCAACAATGCATGTTGGGGGGCGCGGTGGCTTGGCCTACCAGAAGGCGATAACATGCAGCAAGTACGTTCTGCAAGCCACCTCCCATGCATGTGGCTCTTCTATCTTCCACATCTGTTTCCCTAAACCTCTTCCTTCGCACCTCCCCCAGCCCCATATTGCGGCTAGGAGGTGTACAGTCTTCTAGACATTATTCATGACCACCACCCCAGGGCCTCGAAGCCTCCCCCAACCACCCTCACCACAAGCTGTTCGTTGACCTCATCCAGGGTGTGCTCATCCCTGGCGTGACTTGACAACAACTTGACAGTGGCGGCGACCTGTATACGGGGTTGGAGGGGGGAGAAGGAACGGGGTAAAGGCACGATGTCTAGCCATATGCGCAGTTCGAAATGGGAAGGTGGAAACGACACAAAAGCGACTTGAGGTCCTGTGAGATTGGGATTGGGTGGATGCTGCAAGCGTAGCAGGCCGTCAGTGAGCAAATCGCCCCAAGGAGTCCAAACCCAACGCTGTGACTCCAAACTGGGGAAATGTAATGAAGCTCCTGAACATACATTCCCACGCACACACAAGCAAGAAAACTAATCAGCACAATCACCGCGGTTTTGGCATACATCACCCGTTGCCGTACAGTGCACCATCCCATTGCCGTACCGTGACGGCGGTGAGCGGGTCAGCAAGGTACGTCATGAGAATACCCTCCTGGGTGGGACCGACGCGGGCGCGTGTCAGCTCCTGGGGGGCGTGGGAAAAGGGGGGAGAGCTCGTTGGAAGCGGGGTATAATGCTGCGGTCATTAGGTTTCATAAATCTATGGGCCCTCCTCCCCAGCCCTGGTCACCGTAGTTTCATAATGGTCATGCTCGCAGCTCAACGAGCCCCCAATGCCAAAAGTCCTCTGAAACCCAATTCCACTCACTCACTCCCCCTTACCTCCCAGCCCTCATCCCCCGGCGCCGGCATGGGCCGCCGTACCAACGAAGAAGCGTTGAGGACGAAGCTCGTGTAGTCGTACTGCCCAAAGTTGACCGCAGCGTGATGGCCTGACGCCAGCCAGGCAATGGTGACGAGCACCCGTACAAGCTGCTGTACGGAAGGGATAGGACCCTCAAAACCCCAGAGCTGGGTTTCGCCCCCGGGGCGGAGTCCAAAGCGGATGAGATCGGGGTGGCCTTCGGTCTGGCATGTGGGTGTAAAGGAATGGGAGGGCGAGTTGCGTTACAAGAGCAGTCGGGAAGCTAATCTGTCAAAAATCGCGCACGTTAGTCACCGACCCAAATTGGGGATAGAGACTACTCCAGTCGCGTGAAGGGTAAATGGCAGTACCACGCGCGGAGATGAAGTGAGTTTCGTGAATTCCGGGTGCATGCCAGTACGGCGGCCAGATTTGGACATCACCTCCGAGAGGCTGAGAGAAGGCACCAAAACTATCAGCTTACTGAAGGCATTTCGGAGCCGTGGACACATTCGATTACCAAAGCGCCGGCTAGTGAAGAAAGGGGACAAGGTGAACGGGGAAAGCCTGTTTGTCCGACAGAAGGCGAATTTACGCCATAGCAATGTCTGGATTGGTGACACTAAAAGTACTTGGAGGTTCTGGGCTCGATTCCAGATCAGATCCCCGGCATTGTTCGTGAGATGTAGGTTTACCAACGCTGCTGATGTGTGGTGGTGAGGTCTAGTTGATGGACTATGTTCCGCATGCTGATGGTTGATCTGTCTCTACGAATGTCGGGTGACTGGATGAGGAGGGGTCTAGTTGGCAGTACCCAAACCGTCGTCAGCTGTACGGTGTAATCAAGTTATAAAGTATAGTCCATGGCGTCCTGGCTTTGACGGACCCCCCCGCACTCGTGCGGCACTCGTAACTTGTATAACCCACCTTGACCTCATGCCACCAAGCCTGCAGTTCCGCATCCCCCTTCACATCCTCATCACTCTTGTAGTACAGGTTCAGGTACGTGTCGAAGTACGACGTCAGTGCGTTCCACAGATCCAAGCCGTCAGTGGCGTACGGATAATCGAGCCAGGGCTTGCCAGTGGGGTCCACCATACCCCTGTGGGGGACAGCGTGAGGGGGCCAGTGTGGGACGGGGCCCGTGGAAAGATATACTCTGGTATATTGGAGGATACCTACTTACCCATCTTCCATCATGATCCTTATCCCTCTTCCATGGGGTGGCTCTTGAAAGCTGATTACCTCAACCGTGGTCGCGTCCTGTGCATTACCCGATGCTCCCTCTGACCCCCTAATCCTAATCCCTGATCCCCCCCACCAACTACACACCGGGTCTTGAGGTCCTCCGGAAGAGCCTCCGTGGCGAAGTTCCAGTACTTGCCGTACACAACGGATGCTAGGCGCATGGCGTAAGGCCCCGCAGAAAAGGACTTCTCTATGATTCCGCCCGCGTTGATTAGGCCCGAGCGAGCGTCACGATTGATGTTCAGGGTGTAGCGGAAGTGCGGCAGCATCAGCTTGTATACCTGGTTTTATGATGTGGGCGGCATAACCAAGGGGAGGAGCTTGCAATAGGTTGACATCAGTGTATTG